AGCCCATCCTTTAATGAATGGAAAAACCTTCAGATGATTCCAGCCCCCCAGCCACTTGAGTCTCCCTAGCTGAGGCCCTGACACTGTGGAACAGAGATGAGCCTTCCTCCTAAGTGCTTCTAAATTCCCAGCCTACAGAATCTCTGGGCATAGTAAAACAGTTCTTTTATGCTACTAAATTCTCCAAGGTTAATTATGCAGATGACAGGAAGAGTTTTCAACCTGGGGAGATGGGGCACAAGGGTCTTCCCTGCAGATAGCATTGCAGCAACAATGGAATCCTTGTGCCTCTTAAGACACATGTCACTATGTATAGATGCGTCCAGGTCTGTGTGGATGTCAAACTCCTTGAGGGCAGGTGCATGTTTCATTCTGCTCCACTGGGTCCTGCCTCAATGACCACTCACTCAGATACAGTGAGTCTTTCTCAAATAGCTCTGATACTTCCACCACCCTCTTCCATATTTAAAAGACCCTTGTGATTGCATTGGGCCTACCTGGATAATCTTATTTTAAGGTCAGCTGATTGGCAACCTTAACTCCATAAGTAATTCCCTAAGTAACACCTTACTTAATTCATCCTGTCATGTAGCCTAATATATTCACAAGTTCCAGAGATTAGGACAAGGGTGTCTTTGGCAGCTCATTATTATTCTGCCTGCTGTGCTTCCTGCGCCCCCACCCCCTGCTTTGGGAACATGAGAGATTTCCTGCCTGGCTTTTGATAGGCATTTATGATGACTTTAAGCTTTTACCTGCAAACCAAAATTCACTAGTCAGTGGACCTGAGCAAACCTTCAGGCCTCCCAAGTGCCTGAGAGCAGCAGAGGGGTAACATGAGAAATAGAAAACTAAGTGTAAGTGGGCACACAGCAGGAAAAGCAAAAATGCCATGTGGGAAAAGAACCCAGAAGAGGAAAGGTCATGTATTTGGAAGGTATCTTACCTGAACTCACAAGAAACCCAGCTCTTCCCCAGATCCACCCCCCCACAGAAGCAGCCAAAATGGACCTCATCATCATCACGTCTACTGCAGGCAACATCAGGCCCTTCCTCACTGCCCTCCTCCAAACACTGACTCTCAGATGGTTTGTGTACTTGCATGTTTAAACAAACAAATAGATTTTAGTTATTTGATGTCCAAAATGATGGAAGGATGGGATGTGACCTGTGACAGTAAGAAAGAGGCTGAAAACCAATCAAAGCAGCAGAGGCTAACAGGCAGAGTCCCCAGACAAGTCAAGGGCAGTGATAGAGGGCTGCACACAAGGGTGACCCTGGAGCCATCCAGGAAAGTGGGGTTTTTCCCCTCTCTGAGATGCTACCTTCTCATGGGCCATTCCCAAACTCAGGCAAGATTAGGTTAAGCAGCTCTAGGCCAACCATGCACATGACCCTGAGCCCATCTGCTGGAATCCAATGCCCCAAGTCAGCCCACAAGGCTTCTGCCTGGGTCCCAGCCTGGCATCTCAACACTGCCAGCAAACTGGGGCCCACTCCGCTCTCAGCCTCTCCTGAGCCAAGCACAAGGGACCTGAAGACCAGCTCTAACCCTGGGTTCATGTGCTGCCACTTCTCATACTTGTTCTGTTGGACTATACGGTGAATTTTTTTAAATGAAGATATCATTCCCATACCATACAATTCACCCATTTAGCGTATATAACTCAGTCCATAGCCATCTTTTTTAATGGAGATGCAATTCACATACCATACAATTCAGCCTTTTAAAGTATACAAGTCCCTGGTTTTTAGTACATTTGCATATTGTGTGGCCATCACCTCTATTTAGCTCCAGAATATTTTCATCATCCTAAACAGAAACCCTGTAACCATTGAGCATTTTCTCCCCAGCCCCTGGAAACCACTAAACTACTCTCTGCCTCTGTAGATTTCCCAATTCTAGACATTTTATATAAATTATGCTTTCAAGGTTAGCATGATATATTTTTAAAATGTGATTTGGGATGTCCATTTTTTTTCTTTGAGACACAGACTCTGTTTCCATGGGTAGTCCTAATATAATTGTCACTAACAGCTCACCTGCAGCTAGGTGCCATGTTATGCACTTTATGTGTTTCTACTCACAGAATCCTCTGACAACCCCATGAGTTAGATAATGCTGTTATTCCCATACTACAGATGAAGAAACCAAGGCAGGGAGTGATTAAGTAAATTGCCCAGAGTCACAGTAGCACTCAGCAGGCTGCTTTAAAGCGATCACTCTCTGCCTGTAAGCTGGACCTCTCATAAGGGTACAGGTAGTCGGTCTGAATTGTTCCTGACCACTTTTCACATTTCTATTACCTGTCAACATGAATGTGTCTGCGTTCATGACCCTCACCTTGGTAATTCAGATAAACCTGAGTTCAAATTCAGTTCTACCAGAGGCTGCGATCTCTGGTAAATTCCTAAATTCCTAAACCTCTCTGGACCTCAAATTTTTCATCTGAGAAATGGGTTACCACCCCAGTTGCTTTTAAAGACTATTTGCAAAGGGCTATTATGGACATCAGGAGATGGTATGAGCCAGTGAGTGAGGCACCAAGGGCCTGGAGCATGGAGACATTCCAGAAATGGAGTCCCTGTGATGACTACTACCCACCTGCCCATGGCTAGAGGCACATGCAAGGTGGCAGACCTGTCCTCAGAGGATTTTTCAGAACTAGCAAAATACACAATGGATGGGAAACCCCTCCGTAATCAGAACAAGGATTGCTTATTAACTATCCTTGAAACTCCTGGAAATCAAAAGCCAATCTCCACTTGCCAAGAGCCCACAAGGGATTTTACAAATCACACTTGGAGGTTCTTCTGTGTGCTTTCTGAGGCCGGCTGTGGTTTCTCAGTCACACCCCACTACTGAGGATCAGGATCAAAAATAAAGCGGCTCTCGGGCAGACTTGCCCACACCATCACTCCAGGGCTCAAGGAGAGCCTGCTGGTGTCTGAACACTTGCTCTGTGTTCATTCATACACAATAGCTCTGAGACTAAACCCCAATATCCAGGTGGAGATGGCCAATGCAAAAGATCCAGAAAACTGGGTTTCTACCTTGAAACCAAAGCTTCTTCTGGGTTAGCCTTTTTAATTTAAATGAAATCACTGGATAAGTCTTACCTAAGGTGAATCCTGGCTCTGTCTCTTCCAAACTATGTGACCTAGCCCCCTAATCTGGAAGGCAGCCATATAATACCCAACTGCAAGATTGTTGAAGCCATTTCAAACAATGTATGTGAAGTACCTAGTATACAGCGGGCACTCAGGGGCTCCCAGCTGGTGGCAAGGCTGCAGATCTAAGAGTGACACATGCCTGGTCCCCTCACAGACACTTTTATAAGGGTGTTACATGACTGAGTGATCAGAGGTTCAGATAACTCATCTTCCCAAGGCCAGAAAGTGGTAGAAGTAGGGCAACCCACTGCTTAAAGGCAGAGACCATGGAGTCAAACAAGCCTGGGACCAAATCCTAACTCTGCCAACTAATCACTGTGTGACCTGAGCAAGTACATCACTTCTCTGTGCCTCTATTCATTCATTTGCAAAATGCCTGTAACTGGTTCTCAGTCTCTCCACCGCCTCATAAATCAACTAGTGGAACATATGACAGTGAAAATCTGAGACCTGTTCATTTATCTTCCTTTCCTCTCAATGTGTATACCATGTCCAAGGCTTTCAAAAGAGCTTTAAAGGGATGTCATAATTTCTAACATTTCTGTGCTTCCATTTTCAAACTTTCCATGTCATTAGATGCAAGTCAATCAAATGATACTTTTCTTCAAAAAGCCATCAAAGCCAAAATTAAAAAGTTACCCCAAAGGGAAAAATGAAAAAGAAAATTCAAAAACTCTACCTGTATAACTTGTTTCACTTTTCTTCAGAGCACTGACAATATAAAGATTTTGATGTTTGTGCTTGTTCCCCCACCGCCTACCAACATCAGCTCCAGGAAGACACCTTTGTACAATGTTGGATGTCCTTAGTGTATTGACTCCAGGGGGGTTCCCCACATGAAAAATATTTCTGCATCTTTTGCAAACTACCTTGATCAGTACTGTCCACTGTTTTCCAGTGCTCCTTTATGTGACATAAATCTTGTTAGAACTCAGTACTAGGATGAAGTTTTGTTTTTGCTGAGATGATATTTTTCACTATCTGGATTTCCTTTCATTGTCAAAAAGTCCAGAGAACAATCTCATACTCAAGTACAGTGTTTCCCTTTATCTCTTTTTGTAGTGTGGACGTGGGATATAAATAAGTGTAAGAAAATTCTGTTGGTAGAGGTTTAAGACCCTATTTTTAACCACAGCCTGTATTTATTCTCAGAAGATGCTTCTGAAATATGTGCATGTGAATTACCCGGAGATCTAGTTAAAATGCAGAATGTGACTCAGTAGGTCAGGGCGGGGCATGAGATGCCGCAGTTCCAACCAGCTCCCAGCGATGTCTCTGCTGCTGGGCCCAGGACCACGTTTCCAGGAGCAGAGGGTCTAAGAAACTTGCCCCTTGTTTGGAATTTCTCTCTCCTCCTTGGCAAAATATGGCCAAAGTCTCAAAAACTGGAGGCGACACCAGAAGCACTTAAGGAGCTGGTCAGACCTACACGTCGCCGCCCCCTCCCACCCCTTTCCCGGGGGGTAGGAATCCGCCCAGGAAGCGCCCCAGGAGCTTCTGCTGTAGGTGGCCTCAGGCAAATTTTGAATATGACAAACTCTTCAAGGTGTTCCGAAAGATAAACTCTTGTGACACCTGCTTGCTCAGTATTTTAGTGGATTCTAGCCCAATACCAGGAGGGATTCCGTCCTCCTCTTCCGCTACTCAGACCGCGGCGGGGACTAACCCCGTGGGCTCCGGGCTCGGACACCCACCCCATCGCCTGCACAGCCGGGCCCGCTGCGGCTTCCACCACAGGCCAGCGACGCGGGGGCCGCGCCGCTCATGCGCAGAACGTCCCCTGGGCCCGCAGGGCGGGGTCGCCGCGCGCCCCTCGCCCGTCTTACCTCTCTGGACCAGGGAGGCCAAGGAGAAAGCGAAACAGACGAGGAACACCGAGCACCAGGCCATGGCTGGGAGCAGGCGGAGGGGTTCCAGAGGAGCACAGTTAGCGCGAGAGCGCCCGAGGGGGAGGCCCCGGAGGAGCGGGGCCCGAAGAGGAACAGAAGGAGGAGCCGCACCGAGCCTAGAGCACACGCGCGCGCCGCGCGGCCTGAGAGGGTGGAGGGAGGGCGCGCGCGAGCGACAGCGCCTGGGGGCTCTCCGCTGGGGCACGGCTGGGGGCGGGGCCAGGCTGCAGCCCCGGGGGCGGGGCCGATTCTGGGGCGTGGTCTACGGCTGGGGGCGGGGCCATCAGGCACCCAGTGGGTTGAACAGGTTGAGTTGAGTCCGGGTGCCAGCTCTGTGTCCATAGACCCGGTTCCGCACCGGCACTCAGAGGATACAGGTCTGGGAGGTGGGCCCCGCGGACCCAGAGTAGCGAGTCACCAGTGGCCGGGAAGCGAGAGGCGACCGCCGCAACAGTGTTTGGTGATTTCTCCTGGCACACACGATTCCTCCCAGGATGGGGGCAGGACATGAGGCGGCACACAGCCGAGCTTTGTCCTGCCAGCTGGGTGACCTTGGACAGGGCTCTTGCCCTTCTGGCCTTGACGTTCTCCTGGTGAAAAGCTGTTCCCTAGGATCCCCTCCAGCCGTGGCTCTCTTATTGAGCACCGGCGCTCATGCCCCACCCGACCTTCCCTGCCCGCAGCAGTAGTGAAACCTTGTCCCATACTAAAGAAAAGGGCGAACAACGGCAAGTCTTGGGAAACTAAGCCAAGGCGGGGAGCGCAGAGCAGGAGGTAGCAGGCGATGGCAGGAGGCTGGGTAGATGGCTGGGGGCCAGAGCTAAGCGGGCTCAGGAGGACTGAGGGAGGAGGACTGGGTCAGTTCTCCAGAAGCTTTGATGAATACGCTGAAAGTGCAAGTTCACATCTGCAGAGTCAATCCGAACAACGTGCTAAATGACCGACAAGCGTGCTGCAGTCCTTTCCCATGAACCCCCGCAAACGGAGTCCATCTCCCAGACCGACCAGCAAGATGCCCGCCGCAATTTTTCACGTGGACTCTCTCAAGAAGAGCCCCAGCTGCAACCAGCTTTCCAGGACAAAGAGAAAGCACTGCTGCTTTCCGTAGCGGCAGTCTGCGCCTGTCCACCTGTCCCTGCCATTATACCGCACAGGCTGTCCCAGGCCATATCCTCCTTAGCGAACGGCTACTATCACGTCCCCCCAATATCCGTTCAGCAGCCCCCACCTGGCCCGCGTTGGCAAAGAGTGCCCCTCCAGTGGCTCCTGCCAACCCCTGAGCCATAGTGTGAGGCAGGGGTGTCCCTGACATAGAGTGAAGATCCTTCACATGTGGCTTACATCCATTGCCCTGAGTCCTGGGGCATTACTTTTTCCATGGCACTAACTAGCTGGAGAATTAACAGAAGCAAATGGTGGCTATTGAATGCAGGCTGTATAAACAGCATATTACAGGCATTTTATTCTTTTATTTCTCACACGACCTATGTATCACCTAATAATTAATGAATGAAAAAAGGAGCAAAATGGAGATTCCTTAAGGTTAGGCAGTTACCCAGGTCCAGCCTCGTAGCATCAAACAAAGCAGTGGACCACTAGGATCCCCAACTGGTGAATGGCCAAGAACATATGTTTTAAAGACAGACCAGGTACAAATCCTGGCTAACCCCAAAAATATTGTGCTAGGGAACCCCCTTGTTCCAATCCTCTTGCTGTGAGGGTGGGAGGTTACTGTGTGTTCCAGGTTGGAAACATGTCCCCAACTTTTCTACTAATTCTGAATGCCTTGAGCCATTCCCTTGCCCTCTACCAGGAGGGCACTAGATTTTCTGGCCTATAAGAGCCCTGAGAAGGTGAAGAACGTGCAACCTGTAAGTTGTGGCCATTTTGGTCAATATACAGGGTACATAGTATACCGAACTAAAATGTGCAATAGGACTATCTTCTAGATTAGGGGCAGTTTGCAAACTACAGCCCACAGGCCAAATCTGCCCCCCAGCCTTGCCTGTTTGTATACCCTTCAAGCTAAAAGTAGTCTCATTTTCAAATGCTTGAAAAAAATCAAAACTACTTTCTGACATGGGAAAGTTATACAAAATTCAAATTTCAGAGTCCACAAAGTCTATGGGAACATAACCACATCCATTCGTTTCTGTATTCCCTGTGGCTGTTTTTGTGCTACCACAGTGGATTTGAGTAGTTGCAACAGATGCCATGGTGCACACAAAGTCTGAAATATTTACTATCTAGCCCCCTTTCAGCAAACTTTGCTGACCTCAGTACTAACAGATTGGATCATGGCAAAGATGAACATTAATAGGTGATAATATGGAACCTGAAGAGTGTGCTCCTCTAAAACACAGGATGAATTCAGAAGATGAACTGCTTTGATGTGGGAATAAGAACCAAGATAAAAGGACAGTGTTTACCATTGTGGCCAAAAGATACCACTCCAAAAAAAAAAAGTTTGTTATTAGAAATATTGCAAATGCTTGAGATCAGTTATTTTACCAGACACCTCTCCTTTGTAAAATGATTCATCTGAGTTGTTTGTGTTTCAGTCTCTTATAAGTTAGGTTAATGTGAGTCATGAGGCTGGTTAGCCCACCGGTCAGAGGACCTGCCTGAGGCTGGTTGAGCCTCTCTATCAGATACTGCTCTCCTCCTGAATTGCAATTGAATGTGGAGTTGACTTACAGAAAATTCTATACTTAGAAACCTTGATCTGTGTGCTCCCCCCCATAAACACACATACTCCTAGTGCCAATGGACCTGAGCTCTGGGACTGACTCTTGGTCAAGCCTGCCTTATCTACAGACTACCCTCTTGTTCCCATCCTCTTGCTATGCTTAGTCTCTCCCTGAACTCATACCCTGAAAATTGCCACAAATTAAAAGATCATTTGGCCTGGCAAAGTCTTCTAAAATGTTCACCTTTTCCCAGCTCTGGCCCAAGCACAGAAGTGTAGCGTGCAAATGAGCAGGCTGGCCTGGGAGTACAGAAGTGACACAGATGCCAAATAGGTATCTATTATCTGCAAGTCCTGGGTCTCAGCAGCCTGCCAGAACAAACAAAGTCTCATTGTCATCAGAGTTTCTGTTCTTGTTCCCAACAGCCACAAAACTCTTCCTTGCAAATGTCTACCTTGGTATCGCTGCAAGTTCCCCCAAGGGGACCTCCCTTGCCTATAACCAAAATCAGCCCCACCCAGTGGCATCTGGGTCCCCGCAAATGCTGAGAGAGTACCACTGTCCATGGTAGCAGTGCCCTTTCCTGATAACCCACTGCCGCCACCACTGACCCTGGGGACCAGAGGTGAGAGAGAGTACACATGGTCTTGCCCCAACTCTGGGTTACTTTGTGTCCTCTGGGACCTAAAGCAGTTCAGCTCGTTCTCAGGGCTTCAGCAGACCTTCTACCTGCTTCCTCTAAACTCCCAGGGCCTTGGCCTTAATCCTAACCAAACTTGTTTGAGAGCCCAGTCTGGAAAGGGACAAAATACCCTTCCCACACCCAATAGTACAGGCCAATTAAGAGACAAAGACTCTCAGGGGACATCTCTGGGAATTTAAATAGCTCTGGCCAGCTGAGGGAGGGGGCCAACCCAGCTCTGGTACAATTTTCCCAAATGCCTGACTTCATACTCAAGTTCACCAGTCCCAGGAGAAATTTTTTAAAAAATGAGGTTTTTGTGGTAAATTTCCCCCATAAAACCAGAGTATCGGCCTTTATTCTGGAACCATGAACTTTTTTGGTACACAAAAGTCCTTTATTTCATGAAAAGATGGTACTGTTTTGTTTAATGTGCTTACTTAGCAAAATAAAAGTTGGCAACACTTCCCGTCCTCAAATAAAAAATGAAAAAAAAGAAAAGAAAAGAAATCTACTCACTGGTGAAATTAACGAGTCTGGGAACCATTGGCTATCCCAGCAATATTCAGCCCACCCAGGGCTCTATACAGAGGAATTTTTGGAATACACCCCATATGTAAACAGAAGCCCTGAATATGGATTCTAAGACAATGTTCCCTCTGATTTTTCTTGAGTTGTAAGCAGGTTATCCTTTAGTCTCTTCTGCCTCTCTACAGCCTTCTTAGTGTCTTGCATTTTATAGTATGGTAAGGTCAATCAGGGCCTTGAATGCCATGCTAAGAAGCAAAGATATGGGCCTGAGAGCAGAGAGAAGCCACTGAGCTTTAAGCAGTAGTGTCAAGAAAGCGTCCACAGGAGTGCTGCTGGGGTCATGTCCTGGAGAGGCTGGGGATTGTGGAGCTGGAAACAAGGGTTAAGATTCAGGGTGTGGATGTGGTGGAGCTAGCAGTGGCCATCGAAAGAAGGGGCTGGGTGTGTCTCACCATGTTCTCAGGCCAGGGGAGAACAAGAACAACTACAATGACAACTATAACCAAAAAATAGCCGGGCATTGTGGCAGGTGCCTGTAGTCCCAGCTACTTAGGAGGCTGAGGCAAGAGAATCACTTAAGCCCAAGAGTTTGAGGTTGCTGTGAGCTGTGATGCCACAGCACTCTACCAAGGGTGACATAGTGAGATTCTGTCTCAAGAAGAAAAAAAAGAGAGAGAAGTCCAAGGGATTCAGGTGGTACCCTGTAGGGAGGAGGCAGTGAGGCAATTATAATTCCATGTAATACAGGCAGTTAAGGGGGGGAGAACAGGGCATGGTGGGGACATGGAGGAGCAGCCCTCTCTCAGCTGCATGGTCAGGGTAGAATCAACTTAAAGGAAAAGTAACAGTAACAGAGGGCAAAGTGTTCTGAGAGAACTGTTGAAGTGAAGGCTGAGAAATCAGAGGCGGCACAACCTGGGTTTACAGACTGGGTGAAGTTTGGACTCTACCCAAAGGCAACCCTGAACCCCTAAGAGTTTTAAGTGGGGACGGAGTGGTGTTGGAGGGTGACAAGATCAGATTGGCATCTCATAGATCCATTTCTACAACGTGTCTTAGGATTCTCTTACAGAGAACCCAGAAAATGCTGCTCCAGGTACCAGGAGCCATTAGAGAATGAAGAGCAAGGGAAGGTGCTGGGGAGATTGGGGTGTGGAGTGGAGGCAGGGAGAAAAGTGAGG